ATCACTACTGAGCTATATGTCCTCACTCCCGTTTTTTCCCTTTGAGGCAGGATCTCACTAAGTTGCCCAGGCTGGGCTGGAACTCATGATACTCCTGTCTCAGCCTCCCAAGAGTGCTGGAATTACAAGTGTGTGCTACCATGCCTGGTGACTTGGCTGTTTTTTAAAAAAACTTTTGTCCATATGCTCAATTTCAATAACTTCTAGTTTAATTTCTCTCTCTCTCCCTCTCTGTCTCTCTCTTTGGGTTTAGTTTCCTCTTTCTAGTTTCCTAAGGGCAAAAGTTCTCAATTTTATCTTTCTTTTAGTACCGTGTATAAAGCTGTAAATGTTCTTCTAAACGCTGTTTAGCACCCTCTAAGTTTGCTATTGTTCATTCAGATTTTTGTCTTTGTTCATCTCAAAGCAGTCTTAATTTCCATTTACCATTTTGCTTTGGTTTTTTGGTTTTGATTTTTATGTTTTGCTTTTTAGAGGCAAGGTCTCACTGTGTAGTTCAAGGTGGTCTTGAATTCACTATGTAGCCCAGGCTGGCCACGAATTTGTGGTGATCCACCTGCCTCAGCCTCCTGAGTGCTGGGACTGCAGGCAAATGCCACCACACCGGCTGACTATTGGTTGTTTAAGAGGGTTGTTAATTTCCACACTAGATAGTTTCATCCAAGTTTCTGCTGCTATTGACGTGCAGTTTCCTTCATTTTGGTTGGCACACAGGTGTGCACTAATTAATAGCTTTTGCTGCCGTTTGGCTCTTGAACATCGCCAAACACTCAGGAGCCCGAGGCTTGGTCTTCAGCCCGCACCACTCCTGGGGCTGCTGGCTTCTTGAGGAGCAGGGACTCTGGAGAGCAGCCGGATGGCGAGGGTGTGCCTTGGAGGGAGCCTACGCCTGGCCTCCCCTTTGTCCCTCATTTCTTGTGGCCCTGAGCAGAACGGGCCTCCTGCACCGTGCACTGCCGCCAGGAAGCCCTCTGGGCCAGTGCCGATGGACAGGAACCTCCGACAGCTCGAGACCAGCGAGCAACCTCACCTCGTCTGAAGCGCGAGTCACGGGGAGGGAGAGCTGACAGCACGCGGGTGCGTGTGCTGAGGCCGTTCTTCGGCTCGGAGAACTCTGCGCGTGGAGAGCCTGCCTTCCGCGTTGCTGGCTGGAGCTCTCGCTCCTGGTCCGTGGGCCTGCCTGTTAGATTATCATGATCGGGTCTGCTTCCGCCACCCCATTAGCTACTGGAAACGGGTTCCTGGAATCTCCAGCTAGTCCTGTTAAATCATCCACTTCTTCCTTCAGTTCTGGCAGTGTTTGGTGCCTTTATTTTCCCATCCTGCCTCATTTTGGGTCTTACCTGAGGAATGTGCCAGTCCCTGCCGCCTTCCCCACCTCCCCTCTGCTCCCGTGGGCCAAGTCTCCTCCTCTCACCAGAGCAGCACAAGGGGGGTGGCAGACGGGGACCCTGCCCCCGCTCTGAGGCCGGTGCGGGCTCCCGCCTGCCGTCAAGAAAGAGTGTTCTCAGGGCGATCAGCAAGAGGCAGAGGGCGTTGACTAGGTGGGATTTTAGGGGCACGCACTCGAAGACTCACGGGCCCTCCGGAGGCGTCAGTTCTGAAAGCTTTTACATCGTACTGCTCTATGCTTTTGGCCCGATTTCTACGTGCATGCATTTATAATTCTTGTGCTTTCTTGGTGGATTGGCCCTTGCATTACTAGACCTGCCCTCGGTCTCTATTAACCGTGCTTTGCCTTCAGTTTTAGTTTGTGTGATGCTCAGTTTAGCGCTCAAGCACATCCCACCGGCCTCATTCTTTTCTTTCAACCTGTGTTTGAATGTGAAGAATGATTTTCCAGTGCACCATGTAAATTGTTCCCATTGCCCTATTCTTTGTTATAGGAATATTTCTATAAAGAAAAATGCCCCTCATTGACTCCTGTATTGTTTTCTTAGAGTATAATTCACGCAGGCAGGCAGAATAGATGTTTGGTTTTTCCCTTTATTTTTCGTAGAATAATGAATTCGTATGCTGGCACTCCCTAGAAGTGACCAATGCATTTATTTGTTTTAAAAAACTATTATGAATTCAGGAAGTTTTGCATACTTGATGTGTCTCAGTCCATTACAGATTTTTTTCCATTTGAGGCACAGATTTCCTGGCTTGGGCAGCGTGCGTCTCAAGGTTGGTCTTCAGTCTTCGACTCTTCGCGCTGTCGTCTTTGACAGCTTCCTTGCTTTCTGGTGTAGCACGATCTTCCAGGCTCACCCTATGCGTTCCAGCCCCAGGCTGGGATTGCCTATTCCTTCATAGATCCCTGGATTATTTTAAATGAGAAATTGGAGTTAGATATCTGAGTTTGACCAATCTCAGGGTGCTCACTGCTTCTGAACTGACGCCTTAGTTGGGTCTCCCCAGGAACAGACCGAGATGGACTCTGTGCGGGACGTTGGTGGTGGTACCCTTGGTGGTCTTCACCCTGGGAGGTGAAGGAAGGAGAACCAGGTGCAGGGAGGGGCTGAAGGTGATGAGGACTCCGCAGGAATAGCATCTGACTCTAGGGCGGCGTGCTGGGATCGGCTGCCACCTCCATAAAAAGGTCTTGCACACCTTGTGGTCGCCCCTGGGAGGGGTCAGGCCTTGTGCAAGGTGGCCCTGTCCTTGGCTGGAGGTCGCTCCCAGTGTGGCACTTGGGGGGGACTCCTGAGCTGTTCACAATCCCAGAAGCTGTGAGACTGAGCGTGGGTTCTGAGCGAGGCAGGTCTGACACCCCACAAGGCGTCCACGTCTGAGCAGTGGACAGAGTGAAGAAATGTTCCCTTGGCAAAAAACAAGTCGTGCGTGCACTCAGGTTGGTATTTCCAACCCAAATTGGGATCAGTGGGTTACTTTGCTTAATTTGTTTCATTTTTATATTAACGTTTCTTAAAGTTTCGTGTCCAGAGTTGTAGGGTGCCTAATGACATTAACATAACAGTGCATGTGCTTTGTCCTGTGTGCATAAAAATTTCAGAGTAGTTATACTAATATGATTACTAAAAGTCTTTTCAGATTTCTGTGAGACTTTTGTCCTGTGTTGGGTACTGTACCACTAGGCATGTACAATCAAATGATTTTGCTTTAAAATATCTTGAAGTGATCTATCTTTTTGAAGTAACCACCAATTTGTTGCACAGTTAGGGTTTAATTTTTAGGAAATGCTCCTTTCTTTTTATTTGATTCTGTTTCATAATTGAGTAAAACATTTACGTAGTTATCATGTTCAGCTTTCCCTGTTGTCTCTTATACCCTGCCTGTCTGTTTTTTCTTCATGTAGGAAAGCATTTTACTAAGTTTTGGTTTGTTTTCATCGTTTCTTTCTCATTATATAAGCATATACACATGCGTATGTATATGTATGTGTGTATAATGTTGTTACCATTCCTTTAGATAAGTTGTAGCATGCTACTGACACTTCTGTAACTTGCTTTTTTCTCCGTTTAGCTAAAACAGCCTAGAAATCACTCCATTGCTTATATATATGTGTGTATACACACACACACACACACACACACACACACATCTATATGTGGCTTTTTAAAAATCCAATCCTCAGTTAATGGACATTTGGATTGCTTCCAGCTATGCAAGAGTTTTCAAATTTTGCCTTCCTTTGGGAAAGATTTGTAGAAGAAAAATTGCTGGGTCAAAGGGTAAAGGCCTGTACGGTTTTGCTAAATTCTGCTCCCAAGGGTTCCCATTCGTTTTGCATTTCTGCCAAAATGTAGAGTCTGCTTACTACAGACTCATCAGTAGAATATGGAGTTTTATCTTTAGGCTTTCCCCCCCAAATTTGTTACATTAAACAATAGTTTCATGTGCAGTTATCTTTCCATGAGCAAAGTTGAACTTTTAAAAAAAAGTTAACTATTTTGAATTATTTGATTTCTTATTTCCAGTATTGGGAATCAAACTCAGGACCTTGTGCTTGCCAGGCAGGCTCGGTGCCACTGAGCTAAGTCCCCGGCCCACATAGTTGAACTTTTTTTTTCCTGATTTCAGAGCCACATGTTTTTCTGTGAGCTGTTTGGCCCCATCTCGTCTATTTTTCTGTATTGCTATCACTCTTTTCCTTCTCTGTGTTAAAGTTCTTTTTATGGTAAGTGTATTAATCTCTCATTTATGACAAGCATGGCAACTTTTTTTTCACATTCCTTTTTTATGTTGCTATGGTATGTTTTTTCCATATCAAAAATTGCTTGCATATAATCAAATTAATTTTTTTTCCTGTGTTTTGAATCAGAATTAGAAAAGCTTTTCGTACTTCTGGATTATAAATGAGCTGACCGTGTTTTTGTTCAGGAGCGTATGGTTCACTGAATGTCTACTGTGTGTGCACACACACACACATGCACGCACGCGCGCGCGCATGTTGTATTACAGTCATCCGCCGTGGGGTGTTGGTTTCAGCACCTCTGTAGGCCCTCAGTGGCTCAGGCCCTTCTGTGAGTGGTGTAGGAGCTGCCACATTTGTAAGACCGGTGCACACCCTCCTGTGTATTTAAATCATCTCTAGGTGACTTATAATACCCAATGCAGCATAGATCCTATGTCAGTAGTTGTTGTGTTGCACTGTTTGGGGAATAATGAGAAATAAAAGCAGTTTGTATGTGTTCAGTACAGATGCAAGTTTTAAAGTTTGTTTTTTGAGGTACTGGGGAATGAACCCATGACCTTTGCACTGAGCAACATCCCAGCCCTGTAGCATTTAAAAAACAAATTTACTTTGAGACAGGGCACTGCTCTAAGTCACTAAGTTTGCCAGGCTGGGCTTAAACTTGCAGTTGTCTTGCCCCAGTCTCCCCTGAGTGCTAGGATTTAAGGTGTGCACTGTCTGCCCCACCTAAAAAGTATCTTTGATCTGCAGTTGGTCGGGGTGTAGAAGTCATGGATATGGAGGGCCAACTATATTTGCACTGTATATTATGTACGTATAAGCTTTCTATGAAGCATATTGATAGATATTTCAATTTTAGGTCCACACAGATACACCTTTGACTCAGTCAATGCTTCCTGAAAGAACTAAGTGCACTGCTGTTAAATGAACACTTGCCTGGATATAGATGCTTAGGGTCCCTTCTCTCTGTGGCCTTGATGTGTGAGCAGGGATATGGAACACAGGGCCCCCGCCCTGGGCCTCTGCCTTGGGCTTGATGGCTGTCCCCAGCACTGACCAAGGCCTCTGAGCTGCTGCTGAGCCAGAGCACTCGAGGATCTGGGGGAGATGCTGTCCTCTCCCCTCTGAAAGCCTCTGACGAGAGACGCTGCTTTAACGTCAGACTTTGTGGCATGGATGGACCGCATCACAGACTCCTTCACTAGCAGAGTAAATAAAAAGCGAGGAGAACAGAGTAGGAAGACTGGTAGTGTGGGTGATAACCGCTTGCTGCAGAGAAGCCATGGAGGGATGCGAAGTGCGCCCCACACCCGCGGATCAGGAGACAACACTCACTGCCAGTGTCGAAGACGACACCGACTCTCCGCCATCGCTGGCTTCCAGGAGGCCAAGAGGGTGAGAAATAATTCACCGGAAGATGACTCCCACTGAAGCCCGAACAGCAGCTTGGCTAAAGTAGCTCCTTGGAGCACGTTACTGCTGCATTTGCCACGCGCCCGATGGCTTTCACAGATCTGAGGTTACATAAATATTTGGACCAAGCCGGCAGCTCTGATTTAGGCCGTGCAAAGAAGCCATCTAATTGAAAACAGAAAGCAGAGGGGGAAATTGAGTCTTTGGAAGAGGTCAGTGAAGCTGTTAAACGCTGTCCAGCAGTGTTATGGTCTCACGGTCGGCACTGCTGTCTTCAGAGCAAATTCTCCTGTGCTCTTCGGGCTCCGACTCCTCCTGGGTGGACAGCAGGGGCTGCGTGTCAAGGCCGAGACTTCTCCTGGGTCCCTTTCAGAGAAAGAGTCTCCTTTCTTGCCAACAGACTACGCTTTCCATAGCGTAAGGGGAAAGATTCCACTCTGACCTTCCCGCCTCCCTTCTGGGCTCGCTGCCCCGACTCAGGCCAGTCAGAAAAGCACACCTCCCGCGTCCTGGCCTTTTCTGTCCAGCCATTGCACGTCTTGTCTTGTCACTTGCACTCTGTGAACTTCTGGAGCCGTCCCTGTGTCTGTGTGCACCCTGCTGTGTGACTCGGGTCTGGCTCCTCTCCTGCTCCTCTCCCCCCGTCTCCGGGCCCAGCCTTGCCTCTGAGCTCTTCAGCCCGGTGGCCAAGTGCAGTCTTTATTATTACTATTAATTATTGGCAGTAGTGGGGACTGACCCCAGGACTTCCACATTGAGCTGCATCTCCAGCCCTGGTTTTTAATTGGTTATTTGGAGTCGGGGTCTCCCGGACCGTGCATGCAGGCTGGGCTCAAACTTGGGATGCATCTGCTCCATCCTCCTGAGGTGCTGGGATTACAGACAGGCACCACCACGCCAGGCTGATTGTTTTTTAATTTATAAAGGAAAGATGTTTATCTCCCAGTTCGGAGGCTGGGAGGTCCAAGGACGTGGTGCCGGTGCGTGGCAGGGGTGTCCTGCCATGCCGTGCCATGCCGTGCCGTGCTGTGCCGTGCCATGCGTGAAGGGCAGTGTGCAGCCTCGGTGGGACCTTTCTGAGTCACAGGCGTAAGTGCGGCCTTGCCCATTGCTGGTTAAGACCCGCCAGGGCCCGTGCTGCCAGGGTACTGCCCAGATTCTTGCGGCTGCTGTAGCAGCCCTTTTACCATCTGCTTCCTGCCCACCTCCTGTGGGAGCTTCCCCCTCGGTTTGGTCAGCTCTGCTTGGGCCCTCAGCGTCTGAGCTTCATGCTGCCTCTGCTGTGAAGCCTGTCCAGCCAGGGTCTCTGCTCCTTCCTCAGTGACCCTGCACCAGATTCCTGGGTTGCCCTAAGGGAGAAGTTGAGGCTGGAGTTCAGTGGTGGAGAAGAGGTAGGCTTTGGAATGAATTCAGCCTGGGTTCCAGTCTTGGCTCTGCCATTTCCCTGTCGCTTGACCTTGGACTTGGCTTTCTCACACTTCTGCCTTACTGTGCTGGAAGGGCTAACCGACCCAGTGTGAACGGCCTCTCGCGTATCCGGTGGCAACTCTTGCGTGACCCTGTCCTTCACCTGCAGCATCGCTGGGAGGAAGTGCGAGTGTAGTGGATTGTGCGCAAAGCTCATTCTTTTCTCTCTCAGAAATAGGTCTAGTGCAGCCTGGTTAATGTCAGAAATAAAAGCAGCCCTGTGCTTGGCCAGTGTAACTGCGTGTGCAGATGATCGTGGCTCAGGGCAGTGTGGGAGATGCCTTTGAGGGCTGGGGCTGGGTGGGCAGTGAGCGGTGTTGGAAACTGAGCATGCAGTTCAGTGTAGGAGGCTTCGCCGGGTCATGTGGCCACAGCTGGAACCCCATCCTGGAAGAGCAGTGATACCTGCAGATCCACAGTACTCTAGGGCAGGGGGATAGTTGCGTCCTGCTGGTCATCCACGTCCAAGCCTAGGGTGGGGCTCTCTTAGAGAGAAAAGCACTGGGGCACAGAGGGGAACCCAGATCCTAGTGGAGCCGAGCCTGCCCTGGGTCGTGCACGCAGTGCGGAGGGTGGGGAGGACTGGTTCTCGGGTGCAGAGTGCACCCCTCCCTGGGGTGGACGGGAGGAGGGAGCGGCAGGCTGGCATGTCCGAGCTGCGGCGATGCTCAGACTGTGGGTTGAGAGTAGACTGCGCTGTGTGTGTGGGGTTGAGTGCTTAATAAGTAAGTAGTATTTAGGATTCTTAAAATTATTTTTGCAGTCTTCTCTGTTTTCTAAAAAAAATAGATCTATAAGCCCAAAGTTTTGAAAAATTCCGTTTTGTCCTGATTGTCTTCTTGTTAGATGTGTAACAGTGTGTTCATTTGCGCTGCATTCATTTCCTGCCTCGTTCTGCTCTGCTCTGAGTGTCGCCCGCCTTCCTGGAGAGGCGACTGGAAGTGGGCGTGGCCGGGCAGATGGGTCCCAGTGCTAACGCGCTTGTGCTCCTTCCAGGCGCGGCGTGACCTCCTGCACCTCCCTTTCCGGCCAGCACGCTGCTCCCCGGAGCCATCATGGTGCTCGGTGAGTTTCTCCGTCACCCTGGACAAGATGAGGAACTGGTCAACTTGAACGTGGGGGGCTTTAAGCAGTCTGTGGATCAGAGAACCCTGCTGCGGTTCCCTCACACCCGCCTGGGGAAGCTGCTCACCTGCCACTCGGAAGAGGCCATCCTGGAGCTGTGTGACGATTACAGTGTGGCCGACAAGGAGTACTACTTTGACCGCAGCCCATCCCTGTTCAGATATGTTCTGAACTTCTATTACACGGGGAAGCTGCATGTCATGGAGGAGCTGTGTGTGTTCTCTTTCTGCCAGGAGATCGAGTACTGGGGCATCAACGAGCTGTTCCTCGACTCCTGCTGCAGCGCTCGCTACCAGGAGCGCAAGGAGGAGAGCCACGACAAGGACTGGGAGCAGAGAAGCCCCGAGGCCAGCACTGACTCCTCCTTCGAAGGGTCCTCTCTCTTCGAGAAGGAGCTGGGGAAGTTCGACCAGCTGCGGTTTGGGCAGCTCCGGAAGAAAATCTGGATCCGTATGGAGAACCCAGCATCCTGCCTGTCCGCCAAGCTGATCGCTGCCTCATCCTTGAGTGTGGTGCTGGCCTCCATCGTGGCCATGTGTGTGCACAGCATGTCGGAGCTCCAGGGCGAGGACAGAGAGGCGGATGACCCTGTGCTGGAGGGCGTGGAGATCGCATGCATCACTTGGTTCACCGGGGAGCTTGCCATCCGGCTGGTTGCTGCTCCCTGTCAAAAGAAATTCTGGAAGAATCCTCTGAACATAATTGACTTTGTCTCCATCATTCCCTTCTACGCCACGCTGGCAGTAGATACCAAGGAAGAAGAGAGCGAGGACATTGAGAACATGGGCAAAGTGGTCCAGATTCTCCGGCTCATGCGGATTTTCCGCATTCTGAAGCTTGCGCGGCACTCTGTAGGACTTCGGTCCCTCGGGGCCACGCTGAGACACAGCTACCACGAGGTTGGGCTTTTGCTGCTTTTCCTGTCTGTCGGCATCTCCATCTTCTCCGTGCTTATCTACTCGGTGGAGAAAGATGACCCGGGCTCCAGCCTCACCAGCATCCCCATCTGCTGGTGGTGGGCCACTATCAGCATGACCACCGTGGGCTTCGGGGACACCTACCCAGTCACCTTGGCTGGGAAGCTCATCGCCAGCACCTGCATCCTCTGCGGCATACTGGTGGTGGCTCTTCCCATCACCATCATCTTTAACAAGTTCTCCAAGTACTACCAGAAGCAAAAGGACATTGACGCGGACCCGTGCAGCGAGGAAGCCCCGGAGAAGTGTCATGAACTGCCACACTTCAATGTCCGGGACATGTATGCCCAGAAGGTGCATGCCTTCATCGCCAGCCTGTCTTCTGTGGGCATCGTGCTGCGAGACCCTGACTCCACAGATGCTTCCAGCATCAACGACAACGAGGACGCTTACAGAACCGCGTCCGTGGAGAGCTGCACAGCGCAGCGAGCAGGGGCCTCCGTGCCTGTATCTGGTCCTTTCCCGACATTAGGTTAACACAGCTTTATAAACCTCAGTGGTTGGTTAAAATCATTTACTTCTCAGGGTGTAACTTCTAGCCATAGTTGGACATTCATTGCTGAATTCTGAAATGATAGAATTATCTTTATTTTTTATCAGTGAGGTCAATTAAATGCCTTGTTCTGAAATTTATTTTTTACAAGAGAGAGTTGTATACGGTTTTGGAAAAAAAGTTCATGATATTGGGTGGGAGTTGTTGCTACAGTTTATGCCTCATTCTGCATTGTCATTACTCACATTGAGCTAACTGTAAATTACTGACCAGTAAAATCAGAGGTCCAGCTGATGAAGACTACATGCATGTACAATCCACAAAATGAAACAATGCATGTAAACTAGTGTTCATGTTCTAGACATGGAAACTAGGAGCCTAATAAACTTCCTAATTCAGTATGGAGAATGTGTTGGTTGTTATATTTTTATGTGTAGTAAGTCCATGTAGGTACGTACAAAATTGGCTTGAAAGGGAAAAGCTCTTTTCTGAATATCCAGGGTCCTTTCTTATGTTTCTGAATTTTGGATGTACAGTAACAATGCCTTTCATTTGGTAGATGTGAGGTAGTGGGCAGGTAGAAGAACATGTCTGTGACTGATCCGCACCGTCAAGGGTAAACTGTTTAAACTTGTGGGCGTGGGGCATGTGAGCGAAGTGTGCATGCCCACCTTTCCAGAGTATGTTTTGAATTCTGTGATATCTCCTGCTAGGATAAAACCTTATCCCCTGGAAATTATGCCGAGCGGAGTGACCCCCATTCACAGCAGAGATGTGGTCAGTGAGCGGGTGAGGGGAGAGGTGTCACACACACAGGTGTGAGAAGCTGTAGGCCAGCTGTGGCCTGGGCCGACTTTCCAGGTAGCCTCAGCGATGGCAGTGGCCGTGTCCTGCAAAGAAACCCACTCCTGAAGGAGACGACAGTCCTCGCTGGAGCAGACACAGCAACTCTGCCCACAGGGGAGGACTTGGCCAGGGTCAGCTGGGGACTCCTGGCCGTGCCGTGCTCTCAGGCTGGGCACACAGTTCGCTCCCCAAGCCCTCCCGAGTGGGGGAGCCCAGCTGGGATCTGTGTCCCAGCTCTTGACATGTCGCGGAGCAGTGCAGGGAAGGAGGACACTGTGTAGCTACCAGAACTCCGACTCCTCACTGTGTGTGCCCGGAGGTGGACGCAGCCAATCAGGATTTGTGTCCCCTTTTGTCCGCGTGTGTCATCCCCTTCCCGTTGCACATGCCTTTCTTCCCCCAGAGCCTTCTGTGTTGGCGCAAGTGTAGTTTTCAGGCCTAGCAGTAGAATTTGGATCCCGTTTTATGAAGGATTTCTTCTTACCTAGTAGTGAGAGAACTGAACACAGCTCTCACAGCAGTTGCATGGTGAAGTAACAGCAGGAGCCATGACGGTGAGAAGGGACCGAGTGCTCTGTCGTGGAATCTCACTCCCTCCCCTGTGTCCCCAGCAGCAGGGGTTTCTGTTCTCACTGTCGGAGGGGACCCGGGGCAGGCGGCTTGTGTGAGTTCACACAGGGAATAGTGGCTGGGGCCTGAACCCTGCAGCCTCTACCTGGAACCCTGGAACCCTGCAACCTGAACCCTGGAACTGCCTCTACTCTGCTGTGCCCGGAGCGGATGACATGAGACCAGAGGGCTCCTCTGAGGAGGCCGAGAAGCAAGCTTCGGCAGAGTTGCAGTGTCCAGTCTGTGAGTGGCAGTGGCAGATGCTGGCTTGGGTCCCTTGCCTTTCCTGATCCAGAGATCAGACAGGTTGTTTATGGAGAAGTTTTCTGGACTAGCACCCAGGCTGGAGCAGACTTGAGGGCCCTTCCTTGAGGACACTGGCTGGAGAGAGAGGGAGGGAGAGAGGGAGAGGCTGGTCCCTGGGAGCCCGTGGGTTCAGTTTGAAGTCTGCAGGGGCCTCCGCAGTGCTGGGCTGGGCAGGTGGTGTGTCAGCCACTGGACGCCCCTCCGGGCCCCAGCGCTGCTAAGCCTGGCCCCTCGTGCCTCTTCCCTGCCTTCGCTGAGCACCCTACTGCCGCTGCCTGGTCTCCCACCTTTGAGGTGTCTGGCCCTGTTTGTCCTGCGGGGTGGGTGCAGCTAGCTTGCCACCTTGCTTGCTCTTTCTTTTCCCTCCCGGAAATGCTGGGTGTCTCCGTTGCTTTTGTATGCCGAGCCCTTCCTCCGCTGCTAATCTGATGCTCGACAGTTTGGGTGTGTGTGTTACTGTCCTCATCCAGGGGGTCTTGGGCCTTCATCTCTCGAGGCTCTGTTTTACAGAACGGATCCCCGTTTCTGAGACGCTTGGGCTGAGAAACAGGGTCCCTCTGGAGGGAACTGCAGCCTCCGTTATTTTGGTCTAGAAAGACAGCAGTTTCCGCGTGGTTCAGTTAGGGTTAAGGGTTTGCCTTGTGTCAGCAGAACAGTGTTCTCCGAGTTCTTGGACAGCTGCCAGGGAGCAGTTGGCATTGGGGGCCCGGAAGTGCACAGCTCGACTTGGAGCAGAGCGCGGGAGGCTCAGCACTGCTCGCTGTTGGCCTGCCCTCGCCAGTGGGTGACTGCTGGCCCTTTGAGCCCCGACACTTATGTCACTTATATTCTGTCTTCACAATGCCCTATGACTTTGTTTCATTATGAATTTGCATAATGAAAGCCAGTTGCAACCTGTCATCTATGCTTTCTTATATTCTTACCTTCTGTAGCCAGTGAGATTTCAGGGTTTGTGGTTGAGGGCCTGGGAAATTGCCTCCGTGAAACTTGGGCTCCTCGCTTCCTTCCGTCCCCGGGGAAGAGGTCCCGAGTGCGGTCAGTGGGTGCGAGGTTCAGGGTTGCTGAAAGTCACCCGAGGTGCAATAACATCTACTTGTTCTCAGCGTCTGTTACCTTGTCCTTCCCTGGAAGGATGCAGATCATTTAGAAACAGGAAGAGAGGAGCGGTGAGTGGAAAGAGAAACGGACAAAGGCCCTGGATGGTAAAGCACTGCCCAGAGTGTGGGCTGCGATGGGTCCTTGGTGGGTAGGCCTGAGGACCAGGAGTGAACTGCCCAGGCCGCTGAGCCGCAGAGATCAGATCCCTGAGGGCCTGTCTGCAGCTGGCGCCCGGCTTCCTCCCTCCCTCCCTCCCTCTTCTGGTTCCTGTTCCTCCCTGCCTCCTCTCTTCCCACCACTATGAAAATCCTCAGGTGCACACAGGGCTGCGGGCAGGCGTGGTGCCTGCACCTCCCGTACCCCTCACCCAGCATCAGCAGTTGCTCTCCAAGGAGTTTATTTCATCTCTTCCATGACTCACCTCCCTGCTCCCCGGTTTATTTTGAAGCCAGCCTCGTCATGTCATTTAATCCATAAATATTTCAGGAGGCATCTTTCAAAGAGCAGTCTTTCTCTGAGCACAATCGCAATGCCATTAATAAAATAAAAACGCAATGATAATTCTTTTGTGCTGTGAAATACCTCAGAAAGCGTTGCATTTCTGAACATACAGATCAGGTAAGAATTTCTAGAAACCAGAAGCTAACGCATCACGGGAATGCAGTGAGCCTCAAAGAGAAACTGAAATGATTTCTGCTTAGATTCTCAATGTACCTGAGACGGATGCCTGTTTTCTCGGTTTCTGAAGCCTCCAGAGAAGGTGGACATACTCTTCAGTTTGGGTTTAAACGAAGTGGTGCTAAGGGTGATTTCAAGTTCATTTGTCTGTGTTTCGCACTCACTGAAGGCAGAACCAACTATTAACTGCCCCTGAAAAAAAGAATGTCACTATTTTTCAAATCACTAAGTTTTCATTTGGAGTGCTTTTCCCTGCTGTAAAGACTCACATTTTAAGACCTTTAATCAGTTTACCTTTTTTCAGAGGGCTAGGAGAAGAAAGAGAACATAATGGATGTCCCCAACTTGACGGGCCTCCGAAAAAAGGTGTTTCAGCCTGAGCTGCTTTCCTGAGAGCGCTGGCCTCCTGGGGCTGCTCTAGCAGGTTGTCGCGCACTCAGTGGCTCTGACGGTGGATGCTTACTCTTGTCCAGTCCTGGGACCCAGAAGTGTGCACCGAATGAGTCTTCCAGGCCTTGGCCGGGGTCGGGTGGCTGTGGGGCTCTTGCCTTGCCTCTTCGACCCCTAGAGTTGTGGGCATCCCTGGGCTGGGGGTTCCGTGGCCCATCCGCCTCTGCAGTCACGTTACCCTCTCTTCTGTGTCTCCTCTCCCTGTCTCTAACCCGGACGCTGATTACAGTACAGACCCACTGGCTACTTCAGGCTGCTCTCTCCACATCAAGATCCCCAACTGAATTTCATCTGCAGGTCTTCTTGCGATGTGAGGTGACACTCACAGGTCCTCAGGGGCAGCACCTGCGTTACTTCAGGGCCATGGTTCAGGCGTCTGCATCTAGAGGTAAAGACAGCTCTGGTCTGTGCTGCACAGCTACTGAGAAGCCCTAGTGCAGTGGTCACCGCTGCCCGTGCATCTGCCCGCTTGGGAAGTGGGGCGGGGGCGAAGCATGGCATTGGTTGGACGTGTTGGAGCTCTAACGCTGACTCTGTCTGCAGCCTTGCACAAGGCCTCGACCTCCCTGAGCCTCCGCCTGCCGCTCTGTCCACAGGTAATGCCAACTTTCTCACCGGAAGTGCACTAAGAACTAAACAGGCCATTCTGTGTGCAGAGCTTGTGCTTGCTAAGTGCCTTCCTCATGTTGTAATGCTCAGCTCCGCTCCAGCAGGGCTCTGTGGAATCAGCTTTGCCCGTCAGACTGCAGCACCCTGCTGGTATGAGACACAGTCTTACGGGCAAGACACTTGCAGGTGTCCAGGAGGACCTGCACACGGCCTTCCGTGACAGACACTGATGCTGATTTCACGTTAAGCAGTGTTAATCTGAAATAGCAGAATCACAAATCACAGTGAGGAGGCTTTGGAGCATGTGTAAGGGTTTGTGGAATGCAGAGGCTGTCGCTGAGATGTGGTGGGTTTGGGTGGTAAAAGAGCTGCAGGTCGGGACTGGAAAGCTTGAGCCACATCCACCAGCTCGGCTTCAGGTCTTAGCGTGTGAAAGGGGAAGGACAGGATCGCGTGGGTGGAAAATGCCGAGTGTGTTTTGACCGCTTGGTAGCAAGAGGTCATCAGGAGACCCCTTTTGCCTGATAAGAAAGACAAAGAACAGAAGTAACTGCATGTGGGTTCACAGTGAACTTTATTGCATTATTCAAAAGAAAAAAAATCAGTGAACAGAACATTTAGTTCCAGAAGCTTTGCTCAGCATTTGAACACAGCTTTGTCTCCCTGTGCATCCTGCCCTGCCAGTGTGGGCGCATCGCACTGAAGAGTGCCACAGCACTGTGAGGCGCTGTAAGGCCAGGTGTGTGAAGCACACACAGCTTTCTCTCCAGCAGCGGTAATCTCAGGAAATTTTGCCTTGGCTGCAGTGG